AAGCCATCTAAGTTGGTTATCTGACGGATCTTCCACCAGGACAGTGGTTCCCAACCATCGGTCCTCCAGAAGATTTGGATTTCAGCTCCCTGAATTCCTAACAACCAAGCCAGCTGCAGCTTCTGGGTGCTGAAGTCCAAACACCTGGAGATCCAAAGTTTGGGAGCTACTGTACTAAGACAATGCCATCAGTGGTTACAATCTAAAGTGACTCCCATTTCCCACTACTGGTGTTCCATGCCAGCAACAGAATGCCCAGAAGCACTGATTCAAGGAATGTTCACAAAGAGAAAATGAGAAAAAGTAAGCCATAACCATGTGTAGCAGAAAAGTTTACTCTTCCCTTTCAATGGCTGCTTTTCTCTTTAGAAGACACATAATATGCAAATAAAAATGGGAAAATAGCTTTAATTTTAAAAACTGAAAAACCTTACCTTTATTTCATATTCATAATGCTCATCCTTTCCCTGCCCACAAAGGACATAGCGTGGAATACTAATTTTAACTGGATTCTTTAGGTCATCTGGGTTTGTTTTAACAGAGCGATAGATCATTCGCTATCAAATGAATATCAAAAAGGAAGAGCAAATTACAACCCACATTACTCCATGAACAATACTCTATGAGTTCAGAATATGTTATCAGAGAGAAAAGTAAAATAAAATAGTAAAATAAAACAGGAGGCTAGCAGACGCCATAGGTTTCAGTGGCTGCCAAGAAGGATTTAAAACAAAGCAAATTGTAAATTTGTGAATGGTCAATCATTTCTTTATGGTTGTGTGCTCTGAAGTTGTTTCTGACTTATGCAATCTTAAGGTCAACCTATCATAGAGTTTTCTGAGGCTGAGAGAGCATGATTTGTCAACGGTCACCCAATAGGTTTCCATGGCTGAGCCAGGATTCGAACCTTGGCCTCCAGAGTCATAGTCCAATGCTTAAACCATTATGTCATGCTGGCTCCTTTTCTATATGGTACAGAGGAGAAAATGGAAAACAGCATTGCAAAATGTTGCTTACTCTTTTTGAAATTTTAACCACACAGAGTAAAAATTTGATAGCACTGTCTAAATTCACAACAGAAGCAAAGAAGCTTGGATCCTCCATATCCATGTAGTCAAAATCCCACTCATGGGACACTCTTTCTGTCAGAAGAGGAGGGAAATGGCGTCTACCAAGTCATTCTTTTCTCTGATATCCCATGAAAACCTGCTCTGTAAAATTAGTGAGCTCTTCAGAAAAGCATAGGAAGAGATGAGGATGAATCACTTCTTTCAAGAATGGGACTCTCCACTGTACTCCCTTCTATAAATGGGAGAAGTCCTACTTGTAGAAGGGCAATTTCGGATCCAACTCATAACCACAAGCCTTTATCATCAGAAATAAAACAATGTATAATATATTTATTTATATCATGCAAGGACCTTCAGAATGGAACACCATTATGTTTTGTATTCTCTGCCTCCTATGTGTTCCAACTAAGATGTAATTAATTTTTAAAGAAAGGGTGGTGGAAGAATAGGATCAAAACAATTTTAGAAATCCACATTCAAAGAAACATTGTCCTGGATAAACCCAGACACTGCAACTAAAACATATGTTTGTATATATGCATTTCCTCAGCACTCTAGGAATGTAATGGCATGCACATAGTTTAATCTGAGCAATATAACATCAAAGAAACACAGTAACTCTGTAGGTCTAGCTCCTTATACAGGGCAGCTGTAGAGTTGCATTTCTGTGAGCCTGATGATTTCTGAAACTGAATACTTAGATTTCCCTGTATAGCTGTTCTATACAGGAAACTACACCAGCACTAGCTTCAAGACAGGATTTGCATCAAAAGCTTGCACTTCAAATTCAGAAATGTGTCAAAAATACTGGCAACACACACATACACACACATTGTTAGACTTTGCATTTATTTTTTAATAATCCTATTGTACAGTTTGAGAAACTCCACAAGTCAACCTATAAAAATTATAAAACAAAGCAAAAATCAGCCAACATATCATAACATTTAAATGCACATAAATATCAAACAGAGAAATAGTCTTAAAACAACTGAGAATATAACATTTCCAACAAGTGGTTAGGAAAATAAAAATGTCTTACTTGGTGCTGTGAAAAAAATAGCATGAAATGAATGTATCTGTGGAAACAATTCTATCAACAGAGAGGCAATAAAAAAAGGTTCTCTAATTATTGCAATCTAATTTCAAAAGGTAAGTAAACACATAACAGATCCTGCTATTATGACTGCAAAGAAAAGGTAGATAGGACTAGAGACATTAATCCTACGGACACTTTACTTAGAGTAAAATACAGATTTGGTAGAACACCTTTAAATAAACATGCATGGGATAACATTGTAAGTGTGACTTACAAGTAGACACTAAAAGTAGCTTTCCTGAACCTTTCAACTAGAATTTAGAATCATAGGGTTGGAAGGGACAACAAGAGCCAACTAGTCCACACACACCCTTTTGCAGGAATTCACAACTGAAACACTCCTGAGATGTAGGAGTTCAAAGATCTCAGAAGGAAACTTCACAACCCTCTGAGAGTCTATTCCACTGTCAATCAGCTCTTTCTGTCAGCAAATTTTTCCTATTGTTAAGATGGGAATCTCTTTTCTTGTAATTTGAATCCACTGATGCATCTTAAAGTTTCTGGAGCAAATGAACTTGCTCCATCGCCCACATGACAATTCCATTTTGCTAGTACATTACTATCAGTGCTAGAACACGTTATACCCATATGTACTTGGATTTAGATGTTTCCAAGATTTTCAGATTCCTCCTCCAAATTGACATTTTGAACTTCACAGGCTTACGAAGAGAGGTTTGTATGAATTGAGGTTCTAATTGTTTCTTGTTTTAGTTCCTTGACACTGGGCACAATTTGAAGAAGGGAGGACAGTCTCTTTGTGTCTACATGTGTAGACAAGCGAGCAAAATACAACAAAATCCAAAATCCATAAAAGATTCTCTGCTTAAGGAAGGAGCAGTTAGAAGGAGCACTTCTTAGGCAGACAATCTTTTGGGGATCTTGAATTTTGTTGTATTTTGCTGCTGGCCAACATGGTTATCCCTGAATATGTTCCTGGATTTGAAGATAACCAATTTTACCACATCAAGGAAAACTTTAAGAAGAGACCTGATGGGCTATGACTTATCTCTTTGAGGTTTTTACCTTTAACAAAAGTAAAACTCTTTCATCTGGACTACAACTAGCAAGTTTTATCTATACAGCACTTAAACATTTTTCCAGATGTAACAATACAGGGACTTCCTGAGGAATTCAATATTTATGTCTAAGAAAGGAGCAGTTAGCTTTGCACAGGACAGGGACAACTTGGATCTCATGCGAAGTTACTTTTCTGTTACTAATAAAGTTGAAATTGTATTGCCTATCTTTTATTGCCCTTTGTCCCTGGTCCCCACCTGGCCAAGAAGAGGGATTGGCCTTTGCCTGCATTCAGATCTCTCCAGAACAACTTAACTACAACAGAAACAATATCTGATACAAAATGTAGGCCTGTAACATCTTTTGCCTGATGAGGAAGTCAGTGGAGTTTTAAAAGCTTATATGATGTATTCTGTGAATTTCAATTAGCTAATAAAGGTATCACTCTTAGTGAATTTTAGATTTTGTTGTATTTCGCTTCATGGTCAACACAGTTACTCCTGAATACGTTTGAAAGATTTCAGTGTGCTATGTCTTTAGGAAGGAAAATACAGAAGTTGCTCCCCCCAACGATATTCCTCCCTGCCGCTCCCACATCTGTTTGCATATGTAGTCTACGTTCCCTCATGTTCTTTGGAAGTAATTACTAACAATATTTTGTCAAGTAATATGCTAATCTGGATGATAGTACTGTTTGAAAAAAAATAATGATTGTGAGCAACTGGCAAGATCTGAGCAATCAGCAACTTTATCACTCAACTGATTTTTACTGAAGCAAATGAAAGTGATAGATGTGTATGCATGTGTGTGGTATGAGTTTTTAATTCCCTGTAATTATGCAAAGTCAACATTATAAAATGAAGTTTTCCTGCAAGAATTTGTACAATACTATTCTAGCTTGACTCAATCTCCCTTAAGGCCATTAGTGATATAATTTTGATATTTTAAAAATGATTGTTTAATAGTAGATTTAAGTGTATGAAAATATGGACGATTTCTGAGCAAGTAATAGGCAAATTAATTTAAAAACAATTTTCTTTTTAATATGTGGACTAATTTTAGAACACAGACTTTCATTGTTTCTGCTAATAACTGTCTCCCCTGTGGAAAATTCATATGATTCTGTGCCCATATGATTCATACCCACATTTATTTAGTCATTCATTTAATAATAATAATAATAAAGTTTATTTATATCCCGCCCCTTTGAGATCAATCGGGGTGGCTAACAAGAATAAAGTATACATACAACTGTAAAATCTAATTCCCCCCCTTAAAAATTATTAAATCAATTATAAATTAAAACGTACAATAAAATACAACAATAATTTTAAAACGATCACAGTGTGGCTGTGGTTCTTAAGACTAAAAACCTAGAAGCCCTCTTAGGAGAGGGATTCCTGAGGCCGGGATTATCTATCACTGAAAGGCCTGCCGGAAGAGATCTGTCTTAACAGCCTTTTTAAAGCTAAGGATGTCAGTTGTCAGATCTCACTGAAAACTTATTCAAAATTTGCTTATTAGGATTCTTTTATTATTATTATTATTTATTATTCTTTTTTTATTTTCCACAGTAACAAAAAATACATCTTAAAAATGACATTTCTTCTTCATTTTTGTTGCTTTAAACTAAAAATATTATTTATGAGCTTCTTATCCAATCAACTGGTTTTGAGTATATACAAAGACTTATAATACAATTCCCTCTAAATATAGTTTTATGTATGTATGATTTTAGTCTTTCCAAGCTTATAGTAATCTTGAACTATATCTGAATTTTATGAACTTGTGTTTTTTGACCAAAGATTTACACTGTAATTTTTTAATTTTTCCCAATCTGTATCTGATGTATATATGGCCCTTCTTTCTACCAAATTTGTCAATCTGTCTAGTTCTATATTGTCTAGAGTTTTTAGTAGCCATTCCTCTTTTGTTGGTTTTTCTTTTGTCTTCCATTTCTGGGCAATAAGAGTTCTGGCTGAAGTGATCATATATAACAGTGTTTTCCAATGCCTTTTTGCTTCTGCGTCTGATATCTTATTGGTTATGTTTAATAAGTAAATTTCAGGTAACAATTTGTATTTTATATCTATAATTTAAAGGATTCTATTAAAGGATTCTTAGGATGGTTTACTAGCAACAATTTGGAATACAGATACACATTATAATATATGAAAAGTGTATGAAGTTTTATTTATTTTTGTCCCAGTGTGCACCTTGGGGTTTATACTTTAAGAAGTAAACTATGTACTGACAGTTGCAAATATTTTTCAGCTTGGCACACTAACACAGAAGACAAACAAATCTCAATAATCAGAATGGATACAGATGTATGTACTCAGAAGGAAAGGTAACAAGAGATTTATTGAAGAAAAACTAAATAAAGTAAGAAGGGGAAATCATATTATTATTATAATATCTCTAAACAATTTGCTCCTAGATAAGGTAGAGAGACAAATATTCATTAGCCTTCATGACTGACCATTTGGATCAGTGTCCAAGGAAGCTTAAATCATAATAAATATGCCAAATTTTAAAGACCTACAAGATTCTTTGTTGCTTTTACTGCTTGGTAAATATTAACCTCACAGAAAAAAGAGATTAATCCTTATATATGATTACTATCACATCTCAAAACTCAAGCCCTGTTTTCCCAAACATGAAAGTATTTTGAATTCAAATTACCTCATATATGTATTTAGAACTCAGGTGTTTTTTCCTCTCCCATGAAATAGCTGTACATCTGAGAAGGCTAATAAAATTTTTATCATG